GCCTTGTCATGCTCTAACTTTTTCAGGCACTCTATCAACCTTTTTTGTATCCACATCCTGGATCTCTTTTCAGTGGCTCGTATGTGGTCGTGTCGCTAAGGAGTGTCATGATCTTACCTTCATAGTCCTTCTGGTTCAGAATAACTGTGCACCTTCCTTTGTCTGCTGGAAGGATGATGATGTTCTTGTCCTTTCTGAGGGTAGAGAAACCGAGGTGGAGGCCTCCGTTTTCAGTTGTCCCCCTCCTACAGTGCTGCTATTGCCAGTATTACTCCACCCCTATTAACAATAGGTGTTAATTAGGTGTCAACGATAGCTATGTGATGTGAGTATCAGTCACATGGAGGCAGTGCTTAAAAGCCTGAATTTTGCATGAAACTCTCAGACTGAAGAAGTCTCTTGGAGGAGAGACAAAACATTTCATTAGAGAAGAACCTGTCTAGAAGACCTATAAAATTTTTTCATTTTGATTTTTTTACCTGGATTACTGAGATGCATCAGGAAATATTAAATAGTGACTGTGGAGGACCACAGACCCGACCCCCAAGACTCAAGGCAAATATAAGGGGGACCAGAGCCAGAGACCCTGAGAGAGACTCCAAGCACTGAGCCCCCAAGGCCACCTGCGCAGTGAGAACTACCCACCCACCTCCTGAGAGGAACACAGGAGAGAACCAGGGGAGCCCCACCAGCAACCACACGCAAAACTCCCAGGGCCAACAACGATGACCACAGGCCCTGCTGGCCCCCACCACACCAGAGCAGAACCAGGCATGGACACAGAGACCCTGATCCACAGGGCAAACCCCCCTCCAGGCCAAGGCCCGACAGGGCCAGAGGATCCAAGCCCCACCAGGCAGCCACCAGGCCGAGCCGGCACATGCCCAAGCACCCAGTCCCAGACATTGAGAGCCACCAGTGCACCAGCGGGCAGAGGCACACCCCACCAGAGGGCAGCGCGGCCAGGGGCAGAGCCCACCAGTAGTAGAGGGCTCCCGGATGAACTAAATGAGGGGGCAGCCTGAGTCCCAGCCTGACAAACACTCAATCATACACAAACACAATCACACATTCCCACTCTCATTCTCACACCCACTCATACAAGACAGACAAGAAGAATGCCACTCCCCACTCACACTCCCGATACACACTCTATACCCCCCAGGTCCAGGACA